TGTGTTCAATACTTTTTCCCTGTACCATTCCACATTATTACAAATAATCTTTGTATGTATGGATCACTTGGGTTGTTACCGACATCTGGTGAAAATTTCATGTCATTAGCCCCTCTAGTAATATATTTACTGAGAAAAATGGTGACGTGTTCAATACTTATTTTACCCGCTGTATATGTAAATTAAGGTTGGGCAAAATTGTACCATGTGCACTTAAGTCACAACAAACATTGTCTCAGGACACTGTCCAACTAACAATCAATCTAAGGAAGCCAGCAGATTGTGTTGAATCTTCACTTCATCAATCTCCCATCCTGAGCAGCACACTGGCAGCAGTGGAGAGGAAAACCTCCAGCAGAACCAGGCTCAGGACGCCTGGGTTKGGGGGCCCAGGAAAGAACCACAGACAACACAGAAAAACTGGTCCAGGTGTATTTTCCTCTGGAAGAGAGGATGTTTTAGAACACATCCATTTCAAAACATACACAAAGTTGTAGAATTTTACCAACAGCAACAACACACTAAGCTGTGCTGAGCTGTGAGAAGAAGGCAGTGCAAAGCAGATCTCACAGTGGCATCACTTTCAGTCAAGGACAGTGACTTCTGCATTCACAGTGTCCTCTACCAACCGCATGTTCTGCCTCCTAGTTTCAGTTTACAGCCTATAACAGAGACTTCAACGTAAATTTGAAACAAAATCTGAAAAAGATTTTGTCCTTGCTCAAAAAAAAAAAAAACTGTAAAAAGTCACAAACATTACTTTCCAGAAATGTTATGAGAGCAGCTAAGAGTTAGGAGTGCATCATTTTAAAAGAGTGTGAGGTGGTGATGAGTAGGAGACAAGGAGTTGTTGAGAGCTAGTTAGCAAGTTCAACTAGGGCATAGAAATATTCAGTGTTGATAATGTTTAAATATAAGAGCTAAATTAGCATAAATATAAGTTGAGAAGCTGCCTTCTTGCAGCTGTTTTTTTTTTCTGTTGTGCGAGCTCCGTCAGCTCAGCAGAGCTAAGCCTCTTGGATCTGCTGAAACAGATTATTTGATGAAAACTCACCTCTGAATAAGACACAAACACTTTTATCTGTGATTTATGAACCATTTAGATTTTATATCTATTTMCTTGTATTCCATTTTGTCTTGCTTGAGCTTTTTTCCCCAGTCATTCTGGGTTTCACTTGGAGCGAGAAGCCATCCAGGCAGTGCCATCAAGTCTTAAAGAGGCCCGAAGCTTTAGGTGGAATGGCACGACTTAATCTGCTGTACTCCTACTGGGCAACTACCGTAATATAAGAAATCTGGGTTAGGTATGAGGAGAATGAATTTCCCTCATCATGGGTGGTTATTAAAGTGAATCATACTCAGCTGATAGCATTGAAAGCTTTGTACTCACCTCTTCACTCTTCTATTTCTAATTTTTTCAAATACCTTCAAGCTGGACATTAGCTCATCCCCAGAATTCATCTCTTCCCAAACTCTCTGATTTTCAAGTGTTTCTGCAATCTCTTTCATGAATGAGAGGAATTCTCCAAGATTTATCTTATCTTTATGTAAATCTACTGTAAATATTTGTACAGTATAGTGCTGGTATCTTGTCTGTCATAACAAAAGCACAAACTATACCAATAAATTAAATAGCAAGAAACAATACTTAAAATGTGTCCTATTTTTATAATAATGAATGCCTTAATCTTGCATTTTCATGTGGAAATGACTCAAAGGTGAGCCAGTAGTGTCAATCTTTTACGTATGTACAAGCAGTGCTGGCTCTACCCATTTTGGTGCCCTATAGGCG